TATAGCTTAGAAGTAAAATGAATTCATTGTTACTGGAGTTGTAAACCAACTTAGCTACCTAGGGAGCCCATTTTGTCAGATTCCTGCCGTTTTTTGAATCTTCATTTCTGAAGGCTTTAACTGAAGGCCAGTACCAGTGGAACTTCTGAGTATGGCACCATTCAGCCTCTTCAACTTGCCGTCTGGAAATCGGGTCAAAATCGCCCCCAAATGGTGGAAGGTTGGCCAATTATCCTATGGTTCAGTTCGTATGATTCCCTTTAACATGGCGAATCCCATGACTCCTAATTCTCTCCATGATGATGCATTAATCATAGTCCACAGTTTTGGCCCTTTACCAGTTATAAGTACGTATAACCCGGTTTATAGAATGTATACTCCCATTTATAGCGAATTATATTTAATAAATCCAACGTTCCACGGTTTCCGTTAAGGATCGGCTACAGGATCTGATGGAATCCCTGAACGAAGGCTTGGTCTCAGCTGCCGAGGTGCAAGGCACGGCCCCATGGAGAGGTTTTGTTCTCCAAATGTTCCAATTTGTTCATAGGGAAAATGACGTTTTCGCCCATTGGAAGTAGGGAATATTCTTTTTTCAGGCAAAGCAATTTAACTGAATGAAAGCTGGATTCTTTTCACCTGGCAATTTGGATGATTTCATCTGGATTCATGCTTCAAGGTTGCTTACATTTGGAAGATTCTGATTTAAACAACCGAATCTGGGGATTTGATTTTGCCCGTTTTTGAGATTTATTGCGTTCTTCTTTTTAGCCGCCCGAATTTCAGAAAGCCCTCCAAAAAGGGTAGTGAACGAGTCAATTGGGAGTGAAGAAGGAGCCGCAAGCCAAATGTCACATATCAGATTTTGGTTTGAAACCAAGCTTTGACCCATCAAAATATCCGTCATCCAAAATGCCGATGACCAATCCGGCGGATGGTTCTTGGTCGATCATCCAACACATCCCTACTTGGAAGTACAGCTCCAGGTAGTAGGTATATAACATTATATAACCATAATTATAGGGGTTATATCTCAACTCGGGATTTGATTTTTCATCACACAGAATTTTGGAGGCTTCAACTGCACCTGGCGCAACAGCACGCCTTGGGCACTGAAGCCAAGGCGTTCTGCGAGAAGCCAAAATGATTGGCGAGGGACGGCCTGCTTTGTTGTGGGCGCTCGGCGCTTGGTTCCTCGGCCAAATATAGGGCCGGGGCCGGCGCCCCCTAATTTTCACAAACCAGGATAGATTGGAAATCCGGGCTAGAACCACAACATCAAAATGCTTCTTGAATCATTGGGATTTGCTGAAGATGGGCTGTTGGTTTTCCCACTGGTTCATCCACCATTTGGAGAATCTACTTGGAATATTGTTGCGCCCCCTTAAGCAAATCATCAAAGGGAATGGATGCAAATGGAGCAATTGGTTTTGAGACGTAGATCCAGAAAGCACTTTTGGTCATGTGTCCAGGTACATTAATGTGGAGAGGAGCAACAGCCCCTGGATTCAGGCTCGAGTGTTGTTCTGCAGGACTCAATGCTAATACATGTGCATAGCGTGCATTTATATACTTAGAATTACACTTCGGCCCCTATCCCAACATAGACTTTTTTCCGTGGATGCTTCTTCCTGTGATTCACCTACTAACTTTTGTTCGGTGCTTTGCGATATGAGAATACCCATTGCCTTTCAGAAGGCAAAATCAAAGAATGCACCCAAAGATTCCTTTATCAACATTTGAGTTTTTCCTGACTTCTTCCAAATGATATCTTTTACACTTCCCAATGCCACGTGCCACTGAATTGCCACGCGTTTGTTTTTGAATTTGCCTTCTGCTTTGGCCAACACCCATGGTTTCCTGATTCCTGTGGCTTTACCCAGAAAACCAATCCGATCGGTACTGTATACATGTAATATTGTATATGAATGGCCGGCACTGATACATACATACACGTAATATTATATATATATGTATTGGTAGATAGGTAGATAGATAGATAGATACGTAGGTAGGTAGGTAGGTAGATAGGTAGGTAGGTAGGTAGGTAGACAGATTGATAGATATGTATTCGTACACATTTGCATCAAGATCACCTCTAATATGGTAAACCCAACAATAAACCATCCCATTGACCAACCTAACCTAACTGGGGGTAATTTTTCATCATCCCAAATGGGAGTAAGCACAGTTTCATAAGCCTCAAGTGGGGATGGTTTATTATTTATATTTATCCCAGATTTATCCGGTATTATCCCGCTATTATCTTATATCAATCCATATTCTCCTGTCAACATCCTACCATATCCCATGATTCTTTGGTTTAGTTACCACATGTATATTGACATTTAAACATAAACTAGTCAAATTTATGATTAAAAAAAATATATACAACTTTGTGTAAATGATCGCCTTGAATGTGGTAAGCACATTGTACAATTCAATTCGCCTATATTTCACCCATCATTTCCAGTTTCTATTAGCTTTACCATGTATAAAAGATGGCCTTTAGTAGGATATTCATAGGATAACATGGATTGATATCGGAGGAGAAGAGTGGGATAGTTGATAATTATGGGATAACTTTGATAAACCATCCCCAATAAAGGTTTATGAAAGCTTGTTTTTGGGATGAGCTCATTAGACCCCCCAATGGGAGAATGGATAATTACAGGATAACCATCCCATCAACCAATGAGTGTCTGACCACTGCACGATTCAAGTAATTGTTCATCGACTTACCTATTATTGCCTTGAACAAGTATATATATATATATATATTTATTTATGTGATTAGTTTCTTTTGTTTACCACGATTAGCTTTCTACATGTGAGTACGACTATAGACAAAAAAAATCATGAGGCGACTATAGACAAACAGACAGACAGACAGACAGACAGACAAAAAGACAAAAAGACAGACAGAGACAGACAGACAGAGACAGACAGACAGACAGACAGAGACAGACAGACAGAGACAGACAGACAGAGACAGAGAGAGACAGACAGAGACAGGCAGAGACAGACAGAGACAGACAGAGACAGACAGAGACAGACAGAGACAGACAGAGACAGACAGAGACAGACAGAGACAGACAGAGACAGACAGACAGACAGAGGAGAAAAAAAGAGGAAAAGACCCAAATTCCTCTAGTCGTGGTGGTAGATCAAATGTTGTTCGAGGAAAAAAATCATTTGATCGTGCACAATAAGATGAAATTTAGTCGTGGACAACGCGTACTCTCCACTTATCATGACTAATTTTTCATTGTCTCCCATACTTCAGCCATCATTCTTTGTTCTCCATTGGTTTTACCACCTGAACGCTTGACCCATGCCGTGGTCCCCACAGGTCCTTCTGGCCTCCGTGCGGCGCTGGATCCCCAGCGACGAGGAACACCACGGCTGGATGCTCCATGCTTTAGCGAAGGCCACCATGGAACTGCCCAAGACGCTGCCGTTGCCGCGGCGCTTGGGGGGAGAGCTCCGGAAAGCAAATGGAGGGCAACGGGAGCCTTGGCGAAGCCATGGCCGATCGTTCGATGATCAGCCATGATGAGTCACGATAAATGAGGTGATTTTCAACGGAGGGCTAATTATTTTAGGATTTTTTTTTTGATCAGGTTTAGGAATTATTTTTGGATTCCTGCTTCTCTGCTTTTCCTGCTTCTCTGCTTTCCTTCTTTTCCTGCTTTTCATGCTTTTCCTGCTTCTCTGCTTTTTTGCTTTTCTGCTTCTCCTGCTTCTCGCCTTTTCTGCTTTTTTGCTTTTCTGCTTCTCCTGCTTCTCTGCTTCTCTGCTTTTCTGCTTTTTTGCTTTTCTGTTTTTCCTGTTTCTTTGCTTCTCTGCTTTTCCTGCTTCTTCCTGCTTTCTGCTTTTCCTGCTTCTTTGCCTTTCTGCTGTTTTGCTTTTGTGCGTTTCCTGTTTCTTTGCTTCTCTGCTTTTTTGCTTCTCTGCTTTTTTTTGCTTTGCCTGCTTTAAATACTTGATTTTCATGTAAGATGCATTTTGCACAGTATTTACATCCCTGAGTATCACATGACCAACCTTCTCTTGAAAACTAGCAACGTAACATGTGAGAAGAGGTGCTTGGGGGGAGGCGCTGCGCCCTCCCCCCAATCCCCCCTCCCGTTTTTTTTTAAATTTAAACTCAAACCCAAGTTACATTAGTTGGTTTTTGCGAACTAACCTTCTCTGGAAAGCTGGCAGGATTACATGTGATAGATAGATAGATAGATAGCTGGATAGATAGATAGATAGATAGCTTGGTAGATAGATAGCTAGATAGATAGATAGCCAGCTAGATAGATAGATAGCTAGAGAGATAGATAGCTAGATACCTCGATAGATAGATGGCTAGATAGATAGCTAGATAGATAGATAGATAGATAGCTAGATAGCTAGCTAGATAGATAAAGAGGTAGCTAGATAGATAGCTAGATAGATAGATAGATAGATAGCTAAATAGATAGGTAGATAGTTAGCTAGATAGATAGATAGCTAGATAGATAGCTCGATAGCTAGATAGCTGGATAGACAGCTGGATGGCTAGATAGATAGATAGCTAGATAGATAGAAAGCTAGATAGCTAGATAGCTAGATAGATAGTTAGCTAGATAGCTCGATAGCTAGATAGCTGGATAGACAGCTGGATGGCTAGATAGATAGATAGCTAGATAGATAGAAAGCTAGATAGTTAGATAGCTAGATAGATAGTTAGCTAGATAGCTAGATAGGTAGATAGATAGCTAGCAAGATAGCTAGCTAGATAGGTAGATAGATAGCTAGATAGATAGATAGCTTGCTAGATAGATAGCTAGCTTGCTAGATAGATAGCTAGATAGCTAGCTAGCTGGATAGATAGCTAGCGCCCTCCCTCAATCCCCCCCACCTGCTTTTTATCTAATCCCAAGCTTCCGCATCTGTAGATATTTGGGCGAACATGCTCACATGTAGAACATCCCATGCAAAATGGAAGGATGCCAAAGTGTGGCAAATACCATACAAAATGGAAGGTGAACATGCCCACATGTAGGAAATCCCATGCAAAATGGAAGGTGAACATGCCAAAATGTGGCAAATAGCATACAAAATGGAAGGTGAACATGCCCACATGTAGTAAATCCCATGCAAAATGGAAGGTGGACATGCCCAAATGTGGCAAATACCATGCAAAATGACAAATTCAAGTTCCAAACCGTTGCAAACACTAGGCAAATGGTACCAGCCAAGAAATCCAAAAAAAAATCCCAAACCTGCTCAAAAAAAAATCCTAAAACTATTTCACACCCATTTTAAACACCTCACTTAGCCGCTAAATAAGCAGAGGGTAGCTGCTGGAATTGAAAGAGGTGATGTTTTGTGAGGATTTCAGGAGTTTGTCTGGTGGTTGGTGATGTGTTGTTTTGTTTGGTTGCTTTTCTGTGTGTGTGTGTGTTGATACTTTTTTTGCGGCAATTGTGTTGGCAATTGTGTTGGTAATGCTTGAATAGGTCCAGGCATTTGTTTCTTGTAATGTTGCCAAAACAATAATAAACCATCCCCCAAATCACCATAAATAGATGATAGAAACCATTCCCAAATGGGTGGTTTATTATTGGGTCACAATGTTTTACCCACATTATTTCTGATTGTTATCCAAATTTGTGGGGAATCCCCAACCTTCTCATGGGCTGGGGATTCAACCCGGTTGAACCCACGAGACCTCAGGAAGAAACAGCCTCCAGAGCTAGCCAGGCGTGTGTCTTGATGCTTTCCGTGGCTCGGGATGCGATGAGACCGAAGAATCCAAGATTGTTTCGGTCAAAGAATTGGAGGTTTCCATAGATGTTGGTACCCCAAAAAATTGGTGGTTTATAAGGGAAAACAGCGTAAAAATTGCTGATTTGGGGGTACCCACCATTTTAGGAAATCCCCGATTGAGGTGTTTTGATAATGCTTCAAAAATTCAACATGGCTTGAATACTACAACCATTGAAGCACTTGCAGTTTCGAAAAAGGTGCTGAGACGTGCTGAGGTATTGATTCATATGTTCTACCTCTGTATGTTGATCTTCCCAAGTCTCCTGTTTGGGCTGCTGATCTTTTTGGGTTCAGAGCACGGTGACGATCGATGTCCCTACGATTTGGATGCCTTGCTGGTGTGGTTTGGAGCGCTTGGCTTAGCTGTTTTGGTCATGGACTGTGCCAATGATGGTGCCTGGGATTCTGCCGTGTTGATTTTTGTCATTTCCATTCATTTCCACCATATCTAGATTGCAAGTTTGTGGCCATCCCCCTTTTTCAGACAAACCCAGGTTAGGATCTGAGGATGAGTATTCTGAATGTATATATATATATATGTTTGCATTGAGGGGACAATCGGAGGGAAAATCCAGTAGACTCATGCATTGGCGCCAACATCTCTGTTGATTCAAACAACCTCAAATATTCAGCTCCCAACATTCAGACAGAGATCAGAGATCAGTGATGATCAGTGTGTAAAATTTCAGGTCGGCTGGGCATCTCAATCGTGGTCTACATCTTGAAGTTTTTTTTGGCATTAACCCCATTGCTGGGGATGGCTTGGACGCATAGTTTGAGACACAAAGATGCTGACATTTGTGGCCCCTACGTCTTTTGGACATCCAAATGGATCTGGAGTGCCATCGCTTCCTGCGAAATGTCGCTTGGATATGGCAAAGACTGGCTGGTAGCTATCACGTAGTTGCTGTATGCAAATGAAGAACTCCTGCCTATAGATGGTGATGTTGATGTCTTGGGGGTTGGATCGCTGTCCTCGGAATGGTGTACCACATGAAATGAATGGGTACGGGTTAAATTTGGACACCGCCAAATTCGTCTCATTTTGCAACAATCAACCGTGATGCCAGCAATCCATATAGAAATCCTGCATGCTATCCCAAATGTTGCACCTCTGCCGGGCATGTTCATTCAATTTCCTAAAGTATCCCAAACTTAACAGAAACTCACCAATAACTCACCTATCTCCCGGAATTTCCGCTGCTGTAGGTATGTCATTTGTTTGTTGGGTTGGAGCTTTCACGTGGCGCGCAACCATGAACGCTTCTTGCGGCGTGCAGCCTCTGGCGAAGACGATCTTGTTGATCTCGGTCCGGAGAGCCCGGTGACCAACGATGCCTTGGTGTCGTAAAAAAAAAAACAATGGCGTGCAGACGGCGCGTTAAACGACATCAGCAGATTGAAGCGATAGAATAGTGATCTTTTTGCAAAACAGAAAATAAGTCATACTGTATCTACATGCATCTGTAAATTTCTGTATGTGGTTTATGTGTTATTTGACTAGGGTATACGTAAATGACCATGATATACATACATATATATATATGTTATATATATATATATACACATATATTCCAATTCTATATACAAGTGGAAGTACAATAAAGGGACGACTCATTACCAGAGACGACTCCGCCGCGTAGCGCGCAACGCGCCGGTCCCAGGCTGCCAGTCCCTGGGATCCCTGGGAAGTCTCCGTCGGCATCCAACCGACCTGCCTCCGCGACATCGCCGGTATCGCCTGGAGGTGGGTTCCCGAAATTCTTATGGCTTCCAGAAATGGATGCCCAAAATGGTGGCTGTAAAATCTAAAAAAGAAAACACCATAAACAAAACTCAAAAGTTTCGAATGTGGATGATATTTAATGTGGGTAAAACAACAATACGCCATCCCCCAAATCACCATAAATAGATGGTATAAACCATTCCCAAATGGGTGGTTTATTATTGTTTTTACCACATTACCTGAAACTTGTTTCTGACGGCTGAAACTTTGCTGTTTTGATGGTCCATCCCAAAGAAACAGGAGATGAAACCCATTGACTTCTGCGTGGGTGTCTGTGTCAGCCAATCAATGGCGGCCAACGAATTTCTAGAACTTGATGTCCATTTGATGAAATACTGAATACTTAATACATTAAACTTGACTAGTCACTAGGCTCCATGGAAAATGACATGCCCATCCAATATCTTCATAAATTCATCAGATTTGTATCCGTTTATCCTGTCAGGATGGAAACCAATGCGATTTATTCACCATTTACTCAGAATATATTCACCATACTTCAATTTAGGATTATTTGTATTTTTCACCATTGGACCATCATTGGGTCACCATGTTCACTGCAAGTACCGTGTTCAAGCTACTTGGATTAGATTAACCCAGTTGGGTCGGGACGGGTCATCAATTCATGTCCATAGGAAGTTATATGCCATTGTGCTTGGATTCCCATGACATGATATGGATGACCATAAAACATATACCGTGTTTGGCCTACATTCACCCTATTCCCGATTTAGGATGAATTTTCACCACTAAATCACCATTCGATCATCACACAATTTACCATGATTCATTTCGAGGGGAATAGCAGTAGAAAAAATAGCACCATAGTAGATCATAGTCGCAGAGATGTCAGAAATCCCAATGTTAAACATATATGTCATCACGTCCAAATGTGATATTCACCATCATTCACCATTTCCCATGGTTTTACTATATTGTTTAACATTGTGGTCTGACATTAAAAAAAGTTGTTAACAACATGGTTAAACATGGTTTAACTCCCGTTGAGAAAGTTGAAGATTTACCCCCCATATTGTTGACATTGTTAAGCAACATGGCTTAACCCCCATAAGTTAAACAGCGCACCCCCATAGAATCAACAAGGTTCTCCAGATGCAGCCAAAGCCGTTCCGGAGCGCTCGGATAAGGCGCCGGTGTGAAAAAATGCTGGATTTCACCAAGAAAAATGGCGAGATCATGGGGTTTGTCATGGAGAATACACCCAAGGATCTGAGATTTTGGGGGGACAAGCTGAAAATGGAGGAGTGTGCTTTTAGTAGGGAGCATGATCATCAACCAATAGATTTAGGGCCTAGGCGTATTTTTAAGATGGGTAAAGGTGAAAATATAGAGGATCAAGGCGAGAAAACCAGCAAAGTGTTGGCGCATCAGCGCCAGTTAGATGGTTTTGATCTGCTTAGTATGTTTTGGTATGTTTTGATGCAAACGGTTTGCGGCAAAGGGAAAGCCTCATGTTTTCGGGAAAACTGATCTATGGACAGCCCATTGGGGAAACTGTTCACTCCAGCAAGCATTAGGTCACTACCCTGATTGAAGATCACTGTACTAAGACTCATGATACGCTGCAACGCATCACACAAGATCACGGGCTTCTTCAGTACATACCACGCCGAGCCAAGTGGCTGGGCATCATTGATGTAGAGTACCCCCGATGTCTTCAAACACAGCTAGAAAATCCTTCCATGTATAGATAAAACGATATATGTTTGCCATAAGAGGCTCCAGGTAGTTCGGGGATTTCCCAGCCAGCTACGTTTAACCACATTCGAGGAGACCAGAGGGTATATTCTTCCTGTTGCTTCATGTTCCAAGAAAGTGACCGGCATCCGGCGTCCCTAGATTTTTTGGGGTCAAATCCCTGGAAGATGGTCTCAAATTGAACAGTAAGCATTACTAAAACCAGTTTCTAGGGGACATTAATAATGAGTTTGAGATTGGAAACTCCCTGTGAAATTAATCCAACTATTTAAATCTTATTAGGGGAAGCGATCATGTGAAGTTTGTTTTTCTCCCAGCCCAGCCTTTATCAATTGTACCCCCTAAACAATATTGATGGCGTCCTCCAAAAAAATGCAATCATATGAAATCACACCAAATCCCCACGGGACTCCATTAAATATTTAGTCTTCAATCTCACTAGATTCCATTGAACCCTCATTCAATTACGTCAAACCCCATCAAACCCCATTGTAACGCACATTAAATAACTTTTAGTTCCCTGAAAATAACCATTAGATATTCCATCAAAGCCCATCCAAATGTGCATGAAATACCCTATGAACTCCTATGAAATCACCATTAAAACCATGAAACCCTGTGAAAATCTCATGAAGCTCCACCAAAACACCACTAAATCCCGTTGAATCACCATTTCACCACCATAAAATCACCATCGCCTTAAAATCCTGATGAAACTCCAAAGCCAATGGCTTTTCCCATGTCTTTCCGCCTTTTGAGGTCACGGCCCCACTTCGAAGCCCCGTTCGACCCAGCTCGGCTTCAGGGCCCGAGCGACGGGCTGCCGCGACGGTGCCCGGGCACCAGGGGTACTCTCAACATGGATGGCTTGCCCTGCTGGTAATTTCACCTAGCTTTTATGCTATTGAACATGGCCCATTTAGTTCGTTGATTTACCCAAAGATGGTGGTTTTTCATAGCAAATGTTAGTTTACCAGAGGGTACTCTAAAAACGGATGGTTTTTAATGGACAATCCATGAAGACCTATGGTTTATAAACGTTTATAATGGTAAAATGTGGGTTGTAATGTGGTAACAATAAGAAACCACCCATTTGGGAATGGTTAAGACCACATTCATTGTGAAATTGGAGATGGTTTGTTGTTGTTTTACCAACATTACTGGAAAACCCCAAACAAAATTGGATGATTAATAGGGGTACCACTATTTTAGGAAACCTCCGTGTGGATTTAAGTTTGTCGAAAAATAGGGGACCTCAAATCCATATGCGAATCATAATTTCCCCCATTAAATAGTTGTTTGTCTGGGTGCACCTGATTTTCTGGCAGACTCATATGATTCTTGGAATGACACAGAGGGTGTTATATACATCTAGTTAATATTGGGATACTTGGATAGATGTACATGAACTACATACATACAAAATAGATCGCGATACTTGGATATTGACTATGTGCACCCCAGGCACGGTAAGTGCGCAATAACAATCTTGCGTCAAGCATTTTTATATGGAATATCCCCAATATAAGCACATATATGTATATACACATGTAAATATAGGTTATGTCCATCCAACCTACCAAAAAGCTGTTGCTGGTTGTGTATCCCATCAAATTACCCTTTCATCCCAATGAAATGGTAGGCATCATCAACCCAACAAAGAATCATCAGACCAAACCACTAACCATCATTTGTCAAAACTATCCCAACTTGTGTTGGACTGAACCATTCTTTTCTTTCATTCCCACAAATAACGTAAATAAAATGGCAGTCATCATCAATCAAAATCATGCATCAGTTGTATCGCGGGTACATTATTGGTCTATCCGATTCCAATCCCAAGTTCTCCCACTTTCATCCCATCTCGATAGTGGTACATCCCCAAAAAGACAAGTTTTTGCGCTTAACCCCCCTATCACACGCCAATATCCCGCTATAACCCATCGAATTCCACACTATATCTGATGTAACCCCATACGCCCCATGCTGAACCCCATTAAATCCCAACTCATCCCATTAAGGCACTATGAAATCAGACTAAACCCCTTTAAAATCCTGCTAAATCCTGATGAAACCTTATTAAAACCACCGTGAAATCACCATTAGATCATCATAAAGCCCCTATGAACTTCCATGAAATCAAAGGCCTCAAGGTCGGTCCGCTCCATTGCTACATCGACAGGTCCAACGCCCCACTCCTGGCACCTCGGGCTCCGCCATGAAGGCAGTGCAGAAGGCTGGAGCCCACAGCCATGAAAAATGGTGGTTTTCACCCGAAAATTTGGGAATTGGTTTGGATACTGGTGATATGAGAAAAGCAATTTTTGAGAATTTAAAAGTGAAAATATCACTGATAAATACTGGTTGGTTGGTTTTGAAATCAGGATTCTAGTGGTTTAATGGCGGTTACGAGCTAAAGGATCATGATGTTTGGAACCAACAACAGCTTTTTGTAGGTGATGGACATATCTTTGGGTATATGATGATATATAAACCATTAAGAATTGTAGGGGTTTTACGACATTTTACGACCTGGTTTACTGGAGATTATGAACTAACCCTGTAAGTAGGAAAATCGTTTTCAACCACCTAATATTTGTTGAGATGGGATAGGGGTCTTTTTCATGGCTCGAATATGGATGGAAGACCAACCAAGTTGTACATATGCTTGGAAAACTAGAGTTTGATCTTAGATGTTGTCATCAGATGTTCGGTAAATGTATATACGTATTTATCAAAATACAACATACGGAAATGATATAGATATTTTCTATTTACCAACATGTTGCGCGTTTAATATGTAATATAGACCAAGCAAATTCGGATATGTTATTTTTGAACAAGAG